TCAAATCGGCCCGTAAATACGTTAGATATAAGATTTTTATTTTTTTGTCGTGGTGGACCTTCCGATGGAAACACCCATATGATATTTGTATATACTCGTGACTCGAGGGCGTTAGAATATCTTGAAAATACCGCATCAATTACTGTTTTTGGAGTTATAGGTTGAGCATTTCTATTTGTTTATATTCCTAAATTTAGTGTTTTTTTCGGAATATAACCTGTGGTTTGTAATATGATAATGATAAATGATTTTTGGAGCGTTGTGTAGAGATTGAAGTTGCAAGATTTTACCCGATGCTTTTTTTTGTTCCGTACGTTTTGCTGTTACTCACGTTTTACTCTCACTTAAGAGAGTTATTTTGCTGTTTGACCTTTTTCCAGGATTTTACACAAATTTTACCCCAACCGATACCAAAGATGTATACACATCAGTAAAAAGATTTTTGTCATTATGAATTGAACCCGAGACCTACAACGTGGTAATCGAAAACGCATCTATTCAGCTACAGTAGCTATAGCTATATATATATTGACACAGCAGGGGAAAAATGAGTCCTTAAATTTATTTTAAAAGTTATTATTTTATTAAAATTTCAAATATTGAAGTTTCACAAAAAAATATAGTGATTTTGAAACTATTGACGACACTGCGGTAGTCGACGCGATAGCAAGCAACAAAAATACATGAATACGTGTTCTGACGATATTTTATTATACCCGAGCGCACTTCACAAGGGTATTATAACTTTGTTCATATAACGGTTGTTTGTAACAGCCAAAACGAATCGAGATAGAAAGAAAAGAGAAATCGATTAAGCGGTGACTGTCTGTCCGTCCGTCCGTCTGTGCACACGATAACTCGAATAAAAATCGAGATATCTTAACGAAACGTTGTACGTGGACTTCTGTCGGGCGTAGGACGAGTGGTGTTGAAAATGGGCAAAATCGGAAAATAACCACGCCTACCTCCCATATAACGGTAATTTTCAGAAATACGAAAACTGCGATATTTTAGTAACTACTGAAGATTATTCACTCAAAATTGATATTTACACTAATTTTTAGACGAAAAATAAGAATATTACACATTTTTGGAAAATGGGCGTAGCCACGCCCACTTATGGTAACATGTATATATCTTGGTAAGTGCTGCACCAATTTCTTCCAAACTTGGCACAGTCGTTAGCTAGTACAACATACCGAATCGCTGAAAATGTTTAAAATCGGACAATAACCACGCCCACATCCCATATAACGGTGATTTGGAGAAATACGAAATCTTCGATAAATCAGTCAATATTAAAGATAATATATTTTAATTGATGGTTGCAACAATTCTTTACCAAGAAATACGTTTATGATAAAATTTTGGATAATGGGCGTGGCACCGCCCACTTATGATCACATATATGTATATCGGTAACCGTTCTACCAATTTGTACCAAACTCGGTATGGTTATTGTGCTTGCCACATAAAAGCAAAACGTTGAAAATGATTGAAACCGGAATAAAATTGAGGTCGCTTTTCATATAACGGTAAATTTCAGAAATGCTTGAAACTTCAATCTATATCTATACTAATTATATAAAGAGAAGTCCCTTTTTTTTGTAACATTTAATCTCGCGAACGGCTGGCCCGATTTTAATGAAATTTTGTATATAAATAGCTTTCAGCAACCACCATGTTTTAGGCTAAAAAATTTACTTATTTCCGGTAGGTGGACCAGGGATTGATTTATTCCAAAAAATCTTTTTATTGTCCGATTTGCTTAAAAGTTGGTACGTAGGTAGCGTTTTGCCTAGGTTAGCATATAGGACCCTTTTTTCCGGGAAGTGGACCAGGGACCGATCTGTTCGGAAAAATCGTATCTATGGTCCGATTTGCTTAAAAGTTGGTACGTAGGTAGCGTTTTGCCTAGGTTAGCATATAGGACCCTTTTTTCCGGGAAGTGGACCAGGGACCGATCTGTTCGGAAAAATCGTATCTATGGTCCGATTTGCTTAATTCGGTACGTAGGTAGCTTTTTGCCTAGGTTAGCATATAGGATCCTCTTTTCCGGGAAGTAGACAAGGGACCGATCTATTCGAAAAAATCGTATTTATGGTTCGATTTGCTTAAAATCTGGTACGTAGGTAGTTTTCTGCCAAGATTAGCATATATGATTCCTTTTTTTCGGGAAGTGGACCAGGCACCGATCTATTCGAAAAATCATATTTATGGTCCGATTTGATTAAAGTTTGGTAAGTAGGTTTTGCCTACATAAGCCTATAGGATCCTGTTTTCCAATTTTCATGCAATTTCGAATATAAATAGCTTTGAGCAACCACCATATCAAGGGGCGAATTCGTCACTAGGCAAGTTTTTTTTGCGACAATCAGAAACAGCCAAAAATGTATTCATCAGTTCGTTTTAATATATAATGTAATTCATATATTCCAAGAAAAGGCTTTACTTCATAAGATATTCTTTTGTTCCTAATGAACCAGTATGCATGCTTCGGTTGTAGGTAAGGCGACGACGCACTTGCTATTCTGAAGAGTTTGACAAAAACAAAAGTTCTTGCTTGCGCATACTCTCTAGCGCAAAACACATATGTATGTTTATCTGTATGTATGTCAAAGAACGCCAATCTATATCTATACTAATTATATAAAGAGAAGTCCCTTTTTTTTGTAACAGGTAATCTCGCGAACGCCTGGTCCGATTTTCATGAAATTTTGTACATAAATAGCTTTCAGCAGCCGCCATGTTTAAGGCCACAAAAAATTTACTTTTTCCGGTAGGTGGACCAGGGACAGATCTATTCGAAAAAGTCGTATTTATGGTCCGATTTGGTTTAAATTGGGTGCGTAAGTAGGTTTTTGCCTAGATTAGCATATATAATCTTTTTTTGCGGTAAGTGGACCAGGGACCGATCTATTTGAAAAAATCGTATTTATGGCCCGATTTGCTTAGAATTTGGTACGTAGGTCGCTTTTTGCCTCGATTAACATATAGGATACTTTTTCCGGTAGGTGGACCAGGGACCGATCTATTCGAAAAAATCATATTTATCGTCCGATTTGCTTGAAATTTGATAGGTAGGTAGCTTTTTGCCTAGATTAGCATATTGGATCCTTTTTCCAGTAAGGGGACCAGGGACCGATCTATTTAAAAAAAAAAATTAATTATGGCCAGATTTGCTTCAAATTTAGTACGTAGGTAGCATTTTGCCTGAATTAAAATATAGGATACTTTTTCAGATAGGTGGACCAGGGACCGATCTATTCGAAAAAGAATCTTCTTTATGGTCTGATTTGCTTGAAATTTGGGGCATAGGTAGCTTATTGCCCGGAATAACATATAGGATACTTTTTTCTGATAGGTATATATGGACGGACATATGGTCCGTTTTTCTTGAAATTCGGTACACATATTATAGATATACATAGAATAGAATTGAATGATTGTTTTACAGTTGAAAATGTGTTTTAAGGCGCCGCAAAGCAATCGGGTATTGGCTATTTACGTATACTTATTATCTATACCAATTATATAAAGTGAAGTCCCCTGTTTTTATAAGAGGTGATCTCGCAAACGGCTGTACCGATTTCTTTGAAATTGTGGACGCCTTTTGGTTATAGGCTGATAGTAATTTCGTTATGTCAAGGGAGCATGGTATCTAATATACAAATCGAATTTTTCATACCGCATTTCTCTGGAAGTATTTGTGGTAGACTCCAGGAACTTTATATGGTATCAATATAAATAATGGAGAAGTGTAAATACATATATAATTTTTCGGTACGTGTGTTTGTTAGTGATCTCCTCCTAAACGAGGTTCACTGTATCGAATGAAACAATTCATTTATGTTTTAATTGTATTGAATTTATTTTACTGGGCAACTCAATGTCGCTTTGTAGGTTCTTTTACAATTGAATTCTTAGCCTAACATATTGGGGTATTTATGGGAAATAATTGCTGCATAAGCATAGATAATATTATAAATAAATTGAAGCTTAAAGTTAGTTTGTTTGACGGTTTGGCACGTGTGCCTGACAATGCGTGAGTTCTATATTCAAAATATTCAAACAACTGAAATATGAAACCCTTGTTGTTATGAATAAATTAAATAATTATAAACGTTAAGCATGGTCGACTTTCAGTTACACTACACCTCCTTTTTTAAAAGAATGCTCATACAGAGTTTATTGTACGAACATTCCTATTTAGCAAGTAATAGTTTATAAATTTATTTAAACTTAAAAAAAAATAGTTTTAATGATTATATATCTTAATTCTATTTTTATGTACAATTTGGGTTTTTCCCGTTTTCTTATCAGTTATAGTTA